ACGTACAAACTACTGTTTAGAACACGTACTTCTATATTTTTTGTGTTTCCAATAAAGATTATTATGACTGGAATGGGAAGCAAAGACAGCTACGTTGGAGACGAGGCTCAGAATAAACGTGGTATCCTGACACTAAAATATCCAATCGAACACGGCATCGTTACAAACTGGGACGACATGGAAAAGATTTGGCACCATACATTCTATAATGAATTAAACGTCGACCCCACAGAGCATCCAGTACTTCTCACGGAAGCGCCAAGAAACCCGAAACAGAACAGAGAAAAAATGACACAGGTATGAAATTTGGCACTTTCGTCATATGCGTTCCGTCATTTTGAATGGCTGTCGTTTCATGAACATCTTTAGCAAGTGCTGATTCTTTGTAATTAGATTTCGGATTGCTTAGTGATATACAATAATGTTTACATTGGTTATCGGACCTGTTTGTAAAGATACGACGTTTTCGGTAGTTTGCCCTGTGATAGTACATAGGGCTAGAACGACGCGTTTTCCCGTGAAAAGTACTGCGTTTTAAAATCCTATGTTTTGGGTAATTTTTATTTATTTAATTTTTATTTTGTTCGTTCGACCAAATAATGAATTGTATGCACGTTAAATTAATAGTTTGCATTTTCGGGGAGCGAATTAAGAGATATTCAGCGTTTATTGTTTAAAGCCATGGCTGGAAACTTGAACAAGCCCGTGGTTTTTGAAGGCAAATGGCCTAAGTGTGTCCGGCTTGCAATTCGTTTGTTTGTTTGTTTGTTTGTTTTAATAATTCTTTTAAAAAAAAGAAAGATGAAAATCAGTTGACATAGTGAGCGGAAGCGGGATTTTGGAATTGAAATCACTCATGAAAACTTGGTGCAATCTCCGGGATAAACATGCACTACCGAACACAAAAATTAAAACACATATATTATAAAATCTAAAATTCGTATGTCATTTTTTTCTCGACGCCTGTATTTTTCAGATTATGTTTGAGACATTCAACGTACCGGCAATGTACGCAAACATACAGGCCGTATTGTCATTGTATGCCTCTGGTCGTACCACTGGGGCAGTGTTGGACACCGGTGATGGCGTGAGTCATGTCGTTCCCATCTACGAAGGCTACTCTCTGCCGCATGCTATCGAGAGACTTGACTTGGCTGGCCGTGATATCACTGACTATTTAATCAGAATTTTCTCAGAAAGAGGATATTCATTTACAACTACTGGTAGGTATAGTAGTTTCTGTGAACGATTAATTCGAGTGTTCTTAAACATTCACGTCAGAGGTATCAAGTTCGGGGAATTCTCCACCTTTCTATCGAACAAAGACACACAGAGAATCGAATCGTGTCACATTTGGTCTCAGCTGCGTTGTTACTCTCCCACGGCCGTATCAAGACTGCCTCGTCGAGAGCTTGCCACAACTAACTGAGATCGGCTTTATTCACACTACAACTGTTAACCAATTACAAGCGAGTTTAAGAGCTCGAGACGTGGCCTCCACACATATAGCCAATCACGCAAAGTAATCAACACGCCATAATGTCTAATTAATTGCCCTGATGTCGGGACATAACTCTCTTACTTATCGGTGCCTCGTTGACTTCCATAGTCGACCATTATATCAGCCAGTTGTTCCAATCACTAATTCCCTAACATACGAATGAACCTGATCATGACAAGTTACGAGGAGGTGTGGATCATCCAGGGGTCACCAGTGAATGTCGCTATAACTGCGAAAAGCGGCCTCACCAAAATACATGAAAATATAAATCATGACATTTCCACCAAAATGTGTAACAGTTTCTGCTGTGTGATCCTTTGATTTATAGACGTCAGATGATTCATTGTCTCATTCAGTCTTCGCGGAGATTTTTTATCAAAATAGGTTCAAGCGCAACAGTCCACGCGGTGCATTTCACACACGCTGTATACCTTGCATGGAACTCATATTGTACATAGTGCGGCGCAGGGGAGTTGCATGGAACGTTGGGTTGAAAAACTCGTCTTTTTAGTAAAATTGTGCCAAAATGCTTCCCGGTAGCACACATGATGGTTCTAAATTGACTGATTCTATCGCTACGAGCTGAAAAAAATAATCGAAAAACTGATGACTTCAGAAAACTGTTGAAAGTAACCACAGATTTTTCCTTTACCATGATCATACGAAATTCACGGAGAATGCAAAGGCACGTTGATATTTCACTCTAGTACTATTGCTAAAAAAAATTAAAAATGTTTTCAGTAACTTTTATCAGTGACAAGTTACCTAATTAGTATGCATTTCGAGAAACCACTGTGTGTGTGCATGTGCAGTTTGAAATGGAACATTTTTTAACGCAATAAAATCACGCGTAGAACTCAGGCTCCAGCAACTTCGCCTTCGCCTTCGAGTTTCATCACGTGATCTACTGGGCCAATCAGTACCATTGTTTTGATTCAGGATTGGTGGAGTTTTGTTTTGTTTTTTGGAGAATCGCTATCCAATAAACTAAGTACGCTCCACGACCCATATTTCCTTTTATCCAGCGTACTGTCCGATGTGGGACCCATGCTACATGTACAACGCACGTATAATAGCGTTGGTTTTCACATTACAAAAAGGATAATAATAATAATAATATTCTTCATATATCTCACTCAGCTGAAAGAGAGACTGTTCGTGACATCAAAGAACAATTATGTTACGTGGCTAAGGATTTCGAAGAGGAATTACAACTTGCAGCAAGTTCGTCTTCATTGGACAAAAGTTACGTCCTACCAGACGGTGTCACTATAACTATGGGCGACGAGCGATTCAGAGCTCCTGAGTGTCTATTTCAACCAGCGTTTCTAGGTGAGATCATAATACTATGAGGATACTACGAGGATATCGAAAAGTATGCACGAAGACAGTACAGCGGGAGTATCGACCGACGCGCAGCGGAGGTCGATGCGACGGCGCACTGTCTGAGTGCATACTTTTCGGTATCCTCGTAATAACCTTATTATTATATATCTTTTCCTCCCAATGATACATCATGGGAATGACGAAATCCAAAAAGTTTCGAACAGAATCAGCGAACTTCTTTGTGTGGAGCTCCACGTCAGGTGTGTTCACGCCGAATCGGCAATGTGGTATTCAATAGAAGATAACTAACTGTTATATAATATATAACGTGAAAATTGTCGTACTTTTTAAGTTCGATAGCACCAGTGCGGGAAATCATTTCGTGTGGTAATTGATTTTTTATGTTGGTTTAGCTTTCCCCATTTGTACACAGTGAGTATACTTATGCTGATCATGCCTCTCCCTAATGTGGTCGTTGACCACCATGTCAACACTCTGTTCTGTATTTAGATGAGATATTCTGCAAATCATTATTAAAATTGAATTTCAGTGGTGTCTTTAAAAACGAAAGAATCACAGTTCCGCCTTCTGTTGCGTGTTCTGTAGGTATGGACATTGGCGGCATTCATCAAATGCTTTATCGAAGCATTATGAAATGTGACATCGACATACGCAAAGACCTCTACGCCAACACGGTGTTGTCCGGTGGTACCAGCATGTACCCGGGCACCGCTGACAGACTGCACAGAGAAATGACTGCCCTGGCGCCTAGCACTATGAAGATTAAAATCGTCGCACCACCGGGGAGGAAATATTCCGTATGGACCGGTGGCTCCATTCTAGCATCGCTTACTACCTTTCAACAGATGTGGGTCAGTCGACAGGAATACGACGAGTCGGGTCCTAGTGTCGTGCACCGGAAGTGTTTCTAGCAAATGTGTCCATGCTTTTAATTCTGAAAGGTGTCTAGTTGCTTCTTTCGAAAAGGAATCATTTGGAATTGTTACATTTCTCTTACATTTGAAATAGTAATTTCGTAATAATTTTACTTGAGATTCTCTTACAAGGCGCCCTCAGCGACACGGCTAAACTAACATTTATTAATGTATAGCCATATAATGACAAGATCTTCATCGCGAATATCTGTACGTTACCGTGGTAACGTTGGCATAATGTGTGTATCATTCACCCATAATCAGCTGGCGCACGCGTGACTGTGCATTCACCCTACTTAGTGAATACCATATAAATAATAATATATAATGAATATTTATATTATTAAATATATAATGAATATTATATAAATATCATATGAATAATAATAGTTACGTGTTAAATTATTTGATGGCCAATAATTGTATACTAAAATGGTATCAGTGAAGCAACATTATGCGAGGTTTCCTAGTATTTTTTTAATCATTAATCATATATATTGTTAGTTGCACTGCCACATTCGACTGTATATTATTCATTTCTATATTGGGCAGAAGACTTGACTAGCACAACTTGTGTTAATTTCTATTTTCCTGTCATTTTACATTTACATTTTACACTTACATTTTCTGCCACTTGAATTGTATAAAGTGTATTTATTTTCGTTGTATTTTTGATTTTGTTTTTGTATTTATAAATTAATAATGTACTTTGGAAAATAAAGAAAGAATATTAAAATCAATCTCGTGACTGTTCAGACTGGTGTGCGGATTATATAATGTAACATTTAAATAAAAATTCTTAAAAAGATTTAACTTTGTCTTTGTTTATTAAATCGTGTATTTATTTTTAAGCAAAATAAATTATTTCGCAATAGCCAACATCGTAGTGTATACTAATTATTGCAATATATGGAATACTCACTGTATAATAGATGTGTTGAATTCAACGTGCTTGGAAATGTCTGAGATAGGTCGAAGATTAAAGTATTTACCAGTTTTCGAAGATTATAAGTACAAATCGCATAACACGTCACAACATCAAGTAGAATATATATGTATCCTGACAGATAGTTTGTAGGTTTATCAGAATTTAGTTACACCATTACACATGAAAGTAACTATTTGTCGCGTTAATCCAAGTAGCATCGGTAAATAGATGGATACTATATTTAGCAATAAAAACAAAGGCATTGTTATGTATCACAAAGAGGGCAATATATACGTAAACAAATGAATTCAGTTCGGCGCAAAAAATACAAATTGAAAATATGCCCTGTCGACTATCATCTATATTTTGCATACATTAGTTGTAATGAATAACCACATTAACAATTAACGGGGGAAATGTCAATTTTGTAATGCTTTTCTTCTGATTCTCATAAAAAAATTAACTTTTCTGTAGCTCTGTAAATATAACTGCCACGTGTGATTGCGTCAGGTTTTTTTGGGGGGGGGCACACTGTAGGTATGCAATTGTGGTATAGTATATAAAGAAAGGCACACCATAAAATACCAAACTTTACATTATATCACAGAACAATTATTTATTATTTATGTATTGACATTTAACATATATTGTGAATGTGAAAAAAAAACAATTCCAAAAGATCCATTTCTCCTCATAGCAAGACATGGTGCGTGAAGGCTAGGGGGGTAGATATAACCGATATTGACCGAGCGAGAGTCGGTTGGGTGTAGTATATAGACCGCTGCGCAGTTTGTGACACAACCAAGCTAGAAACTCTACTGAATTACCCACTTACTATCATTGAGGTACTAAATCCCGTAAAATTGCCGTTGTCCGACTCTCTGCGTAATGTTAAAGAAACATTAACTGTCGACCCCCACTACAGGTTGCTCCTCGAATTCACGCTGACGGGCGGTTTTATGAAATTCTTAAACCATAAACTTGAATAAGAACATTTTCTCACAACTGTAACATCCACATTCTCCGCCGAAACATTTACATACTAAATGTATTACTTATGCGCTCAATTTCATAACACTATCAATGTCCGACTTTGTACAACATGTTAAAGCACTACAAATTGTAAACTGTCGATCCTGGTATACACTGTTTACATTAGCCACGAATACACAAAACACTGTAAAATTTCCCACACCTGTAACTACCACGTTCTTCAATGGAATGTTTTCATCAGCGAGTCGTACATTTGCTATTCGGATAAATAACTACAGCAACCTCGTCAGTTTTAACACCTTTATATCGATAATTGCAGTGCACGCAGTTGGAGTACTAGTACCTGGATTGACCTCTGACTCTTTATTATATGATGACTCGTCAAGGTCAGTAGTACGCCATTCTAAAAATAGAATATAGTCACCTGATATATATCAAAACAAACTGCATTTTGTGTTTCCATATAAGGCAATTATACCGACTCATGCCATATTTGGACAAATTTACAAATCTGACAACCAAACAATAACACCGTAGCGACCCACTTTAGTCTTGCAACATGCAAGCACCAAGCGAAAACGTTCAATCCAAAAATGGCATGTTTTCCCCGTAGTAATTCCTTATTTGGCAATGATTGGCCAGATCCACAAAATAAGGCTCAGTAATTGTCAGTCTATATTATCGAAAATCACGTGTTCAGTCATCCACCCAAAAACCAATACTAACATTCAAAACCATCGTCATAGGAAAAACGATCTAGCCTTGTATGGTCAGATAACAGTAGCGAGGGAATACCCAACACACACAATAAACTCCAAAATAATATATTGGTAAACCACGTACTTAGCTAATATTTATTTTTATAAGGGTACACAATTATTTCAAAGAGGGGGGGTCGTCAGAAAACTAAATATCGCATGAATAAAGATACTTTTATAGGTTATGTACACAAACCAATATAACGAGCATATAATAACACAATTGTAAGCGAAAACAATAATCTGCCGGACAAACACAACCCACGGAAGCATTAATGGCTACCAGTTAAGGTATAGATGCAGGTTCGTGGGCACTTGTGATTTTTTTTCCTTGTTCTTACCAAAACAGTCTTGGCTATAGACTGTTAAAATTTCGGAGCTCTGCGTCAATGGTTGAACATACTAAAAAACGATTTAAAAATATAGGGAACCGAGGCTATTAACACGAAGTCATGATTATTAACAACACTGAAAACGTAGTTAGATTGCCTCCTACCCCCACATCCCCAGTCACCTTCCGTCAACAAGTTACAGGTGTCCTCGATTTTGTTAAGAGCGCCCTCAATATACTAATATTCAGTTTGGAAGGTGGACACCATATACGGCAATATATGCCGATGTTCGAATATCCCAATTTACAACAATTTCCTTATATGGAGAAAATATTGATTATCAGAGAGCTAAGTATATGTCAACATCTATTGTTTACTTCGTAAAATTCACCCTTTACGATACTCCATGCAGGTAAACGCCTTGTCAACAATCCCAGTGTCTGCGTTCTGGTATATAAATGATAGAACCATAAACTAATCGCATACATCCATCTACATGTATCTACAGTAAAACAGCAACAGTGAGAGACCGCATATCTTGGTAAGTTTCTCGTCAGCTTCCAACAAATATGCGTTCACCAATCTATGCGCATGTGGTTAACAATTTCAATGGAGACATTATGGGCAATACGTATACATTATTATTTATTTTTTGTAATTTTTATACTTTCAGAGTTATACTATTTGCGTATATATTTATATTTATACTACAAATACTAAATATGGTGGAAGACGAACCCGCTGCCTTGGTAGTGGACAATGGCTCCGGCATGTGTAAGGCTGGTTTCGGTGGTGACGACGCTCCTCGAGCAGTCTTCCCGTCCATCGTTGGAAGGCCACGTCATCAGGTAGAGTTTCAATACATCGAATGGAGTCTCACTTTGTTTACTCAATTGGCCTAGAGGTATTATTTCTGTTATCCCGTGACGGGGATACGTTAGAATATTGCAGCTCAGTTCTCACTTACTAGCTGAAGTGTTATGTTGTTATCAGGATGTGTTCATGAAGATTAGTTTGATTTTAATGTGATGTCGCCCCCTACTGAATAATATTAACGTTCCCCTAACACAATGGATTACATTATACATGGGTAACCATATACAGTTTCAATAAAATAATGATATTTTCCATCAAAGATCGTTATGTCCGGAATGGGTCACAAAGACAGCTACGTCGGAGACGAAGCTCAGAGTAAACGTGGAATTCTGACACTAAAATATCCAATCGAGCACGGTATCGTAACAAACTGGGACGATATGGAAAAGATTTGGCACCATACTTTCTACAATGAGATGCGAGTCGCCCCAGAAGAACATCCGGTACTTTTAACGGAAGCGCCACTGAATCCGAAACAGAACAGAGAAAAAATGACACAGGTATGTGAAATAGGAACTTATTTTACTATAAAAGTTAATCAGGTAATTTAATGGTATGACATCACTTGAATTTGGTAGCAGCCTCCGAGGCCGATGTGCTCGTATCATTACAGAATGACAATGCTCTCAATTCAGTCACTATTACGGGACAGCCTGGTACACTGAATATAAATCCCTGTTTAGAACGACGTCTGTCAGAAACATATCGTATTTATGCAGCAACTAATTCAGACTAAAATTATCCATTTTTTCAGATTATGTTTGAGACATTCAACGTGCCAGCCATGTATGTGAGTATTCAGGCGGTGTTGTCGTTGTATGCGTCTGGTCGAACAACTGGTGTTGTATTTGACAGCGGTGATGGCGTGAGTCATATCGTTCCCATCTACGAAGGCTATTCTCTGCCACATGCTATCGAGAGACTTGACTTGGCTGGTCGTGATATCACCGACTATTTAGTCAGAATATTGTTAGAAAGAGGATATTCCTTCAATACCACAGGTCCGTGTTTGTGTTGTTCTGAGTGATTCGATTATTCGGCTGAAACGAATTTGACCACTACACTGTTTTTGTCACAACCATGACAACTGCCTAAGTATCGGGCAATTGTATGATTACACGAGATCACATTTTATCATTTCATTCTTTCATTTTAGCTGAGAAAGAAATCGTTCGTGACATCAAAGAAAAACTTTGCTACGTCGCTATGGACTTCGAGCAGGAAATGCAAAGTGCTGCCAGAAGTTCTGCGTTGGAGAAAAGTTACGAACTACCAGACGGTGCAGTCATCACCATTGGCAACGAGAGATTCCGAGCTCCTGAAAGTCTGTTTCAGCCAGCATTTCTAGGTAAGGGAAAACATTTTATTATTAGGAATTGCATAAAGTCGAGTGAATTGCAAAAAAAATCCACGTCCCTACTCTGCTAGTAAAGAGTTAATGTAAAGGGGGTAATTATTCACTGTGTTTTAATTTTGCTTATTTCGCTGACTGAAAAATGCGCTGAATTAAAACCCAGTGAATATGTAAAATTTAGCATAGAACAAATGATCTAAATCATGAAACCGTGAATTTAAAACCCACTGAATATGCCTGAAATGGTAAATCAGTGAAATTTAAACCCAGTGAAAATTAGTCATTTTACAGTATAGTCGGATATTGTTTAGTTTTGTACCATTTGACATATAAAGTAGTATATACCAAATGCAACAATGACAGTATTTGAAGATATATGAGTCAGAAATTGTTACCAAATTTGTGAAGATTCGGCTGTGATCGAATTTTCAACAGCTTAGGGCATCAACAAGTCCATCGAATCGCAAGCGAAACTGACGTCTCTTCAATGCGGCCTATTTAATTAAAGAAAACTCGCAAGTCGGAGGATTTGTTTGATGGACGCCAACTTTTCTTTCTAAATTTATACATTTTATATGATATTTCATAGCATTCGTTGCCACCTAGATTCAAACAAAATTAAATTTGCATGTCGAGATTGTATGTATTACAGCCAGGTTCTGACACGTTTGACTCGCGAACGTCTTAACATGTATCAGGGGAGTGCCTCTCTCTACTGCGTCTATCGTGGAGTATTCGCCAAGACCAACTCAAACTCTCTTTATTCATTTTCACAACTCTAACCAATTACAAAGCAGTAAAAAGACTCTAGGGCGTAACCTTCAATCATAAAGCCAATCACACTAAGTACTGAACACGTCATATCTTTTGATTAATCGTTCACTACATTAATAACTACGGATGTCAGAATAGCGACGGTATCTTGTAATTAGTTCCAAATCACTGAGCCAAGTTCCGTCCAAAACTTCAAATAGGCCTAAACGATGACAGACATAACACAGCAATTCGCTAATAATCAGCTAATTAAGTCGATTAACAGATACGCAAAAACAAATTCATGACACATGTCATATGTAATGCAGCTTTAAGTTGACTATTATTATTTTACTTTAAATACTCTTCATTATTTTATTATTATTTTATTGTATTCA